CACACACACACACACACACACACACACACACACACACACACACACACACACTCACACACACATACTAAAAGACAAAGAAACCCATGGAAGCAGAAACATTTTTCGCATGATCACTCGGTTAACACTCATCGTTTCCTCCGATTTCGTACGTCCGTTAGAGCTAGCTGTCTTTCGTAGCGTTCATGATGCTGAATGATAACGGTTAAGCGAACACGATGCATGTTATTTCGAAGGCAGATCAGCAGCAACGACCCCCCCCCCCCAAGAAATAACAAAAACGAAGCTCGGGCAGTAACAAGAACAAATGCATCAATCAAGAATAATAACAGTAGTAACTAGAACAACAACAGCAGCAACTACAACAATAACAACAGTAGAAACAACAGCTCCAGCAACAGCAACAACAACATAATAATATGAACAAATCCATAGGGATTCTGCATACCCAGTAAACCTGTGAACAGAAGGCTGCATCCCAACCTCCCTCCCCCTCCCAAAGTGATAACAAGAACGACAAAAAGGGATATCCAAACTATAATGCTTGACCTCAGTCTGGGTGGCTTAGGTTCAAAACAAAACATCACAAAGCAAAGCAAAACAAAGCATAGCAAAGCACAGCACAGTGCTTCCCAGCACAACAAAGAAGAGCAAGGCAAGCCAAAGTAAAGCAAAGCAAAGCAAAGCAGAGCAAAGCAAAGCAAAACGAAAGAAGGAAAAGCAATGCAACGCAAAACAAAACAAAGAAAAACAAAATAGAACAATCAAACAGAGCATCAGCGTCCGTACCGACCTTACGAACAAGGTGAAGAAGATGCTGAAGCCGCCGATACACCCGACCAGGATGACAAACAGGCCGAAGTAGGCGGCGGCGGGCGTGCAGACGCGCCTTGAGAAGAACGGGAAGCGGATGGCCACGTAGCGCATGACGGTGATCATGATGAGCATCCAGTTGTTGACAGAGTTGCACGTGAGCGCATAGATGTGGTGGATTCTGAAAGGTGGTAGCTTTTTTTTTCCTTTTTTTTTTTTTCTTTGATTAAAAATAAATTTAAGCTTCATGTAAAACATAATGTTATGTGGCATTCTGACAGCAAAGCTTACACATTTACAAGTGTCACCATCAGGTGCCAGATATGTTGCAACAGACATCGGTGATCATCGTTCGTCATTCATTATTTTTATTCACTTATTCATTTATTTTTATTGCCTCGATGCTCTGTGAACTAAAATAAAATGAAGAAAAGCAATCTAAACAACTAAAACGACGTAGAGAGGACAGAACCTCATAATGACAACAACTGAAGTTAGGCGCCAAGACAGAGAAGAGAATACAGTAGGTCATGAATTAAAAACCTTTATTAACAATGTAATGTAAGGTTATAATAAAAGCAATTAAAGACCCATGAATTTAACGGGACACCCATATCCGATTGGACTGAGTTAAGCAGGAAAAAAACCGTGATTACTCGCTACCTTAGAATTACAAAGTTCTATTTGACATTGTTTTGGCCGTATTGGGTTACTAAGACCATGAATTTAGAAAACAATTTATATTTTATCTGCTCTATAAAAATTGTAAGATAATTCGGAGTCGCTATCAGGATATTCAAAAAATTGCATTCGGAAAAGCTTGACACGTTGTGAAACTCAAAAGTGTTGACGTCAAATTTCCCAAAACTAGGGACTGAGTAGATAGAACATTGTAATTCTAGGATAGAGATGCGGTAAAAGCAGTTCCGGTTGAAAATGTTATTTTTGAGATATACATCAGGGTCATACGCACCGTGGCCATGTCCAATATATCATTTGAGCTAATATTGTACGGTTCACTGAGGATGATTTGCGG